GAGTTGGTAGTTAGAATGTGGTGATTGATCCTGTACTGAAACCATTGTAGTTTAGAGTTTTTAGTGATCCGGAAAGGAAGTTTGTAGATCTGTTTCCATGACTCATCACTGATATTATAATGGCCGTCGCTATTACCACCCGAGTGTCAATAGCAAAGCTTATATTCTCGTTGTTAGCCCTATCAGGATACACACAACCGTCAACACACTATTACTCTCCGCTACCCGGCACACCGTTTTTTCGTTATCTAGCCCGAGTGTCAATAGCCACTCCGTATTATAATTTTCACAATTTTGTTTGCAAGTTGGTAAAACATTGTTTTTACAAAGTATATTGTACATGTCTTTAGCTCCTTTATTACTTTTAAGAATAGTTATTAAGTTCAATGGGATATATATGGGTACGGTACTGGTATATGTGTATTAAATTGTTGAAATTGATGAAGGTCCTTTGAAATTACAGATACTATGCCCTGGTATTTTAGAAAAGTACATCCTATATTATATCTACGTTGAAATTTTTCATATGGAAGACATTTTCCGTTATGTCCAATCACATCATTGATAATTCTGACTCCTTTTAGAAACAGAGCCTGATTGTGAGTGACAGACAGACTGGATATTTCGTATGACTGTAAACTTACGTGTGAGTGTCCATAGGCTAAGTGTGAGTTTGGAAACTTATGTGAGTTTTGGTAGGCTTAGTATGAGTATAAGTGTCAGGAAGCTTCCTGTGAGTGTCTGGAAGAGAACGAGCGTCCAGTGCGAGAATCCGGAGCCCTTGTGTAAAAGTCCAATAGCTTAGTACGAGTGTCCGGTGTGTGTGGCTTCGTCTGATAGTCTGGAAGCCTTGTGTCAAAGTCCAATAGCTTAGAACGAGCGCCCGGTGTTCGGGGCTTCGTCTGATAGTAAAGTCCAATAGCTTAGTAAGGCTTTGTCTGATAGTCTGGAAGCCTTGTGTCAAAGTCCAATAGCTTAGTACGAGCGCCCGGTGTTCGGGGCTTAGTCTGCTAGTCTGGAAGCTTCTTGTCAAAGTCCAATAGCTTAGTACGAGCGCCCGGTGTTCGGGGCTTCGTCTGATAGTCTGGAAGCCTTGTGTCAAAGTCTAATAGCTTAGTGCGAGTGTCCGGTGTTCGGGGCTTAGCCTGATAGTTTGGAAGCCTTGTGTGGAAGTATTTAGCCTAGTGTCAGTGCCCGAAAGCTTATGAGTGTCCGGAAGTTAGATTGTCGGGATTATCGAAGTCTGCACTAACAAACTTCCAATGTCCAGATGCCACGTGACCAAACATCAATATTTGTCATATCTAAAGACCAAAAGATTAATGTTGCCGTTTCTTTAAAAAAACAACGTTTAAAATTTTAAGATTATCTTTACTATAAACAAATCCGCATAGGATCGGCGTTACTAACAATATATCAAGTCGTACAAACATCTTTTTCGTTGAACTTTTCATTGAACTTTTTAAACAGAGCACATTTAGTCTTTACAGAATAGATTTCATAGGTAGACACATTTGAGCTGCTCTGTTATATCCCATTATATTACAATTTGAACACGTCTCAGAATTCTTCTTGCGTACACCAAATTTTAAATGGACATCACTATGAAAATTTTAGCAAGAAACCCGAAGATAGTTTTGAAATCCAAGGGTTTGCTCTTAATATACATCTCTTGTTGAGAAGTAATGGCTATCGAAGATGATCTGATGGTTATCCATTGCAATTGTATTGAGCAAGAATTATAAGACTACCTTATCTAGAACACCGCGATCCCCATCCCTACCCCCTTTCCCGATGGCGGTAAAGACATGTTCTATCAATGAGTCTAGACATCCTTGACGTCCTATTTATGGTCAACTACCACCGCCCCCCCCCCCCCCCCTCTCTCTCTCTCTCTCTCTCTCTCTCTCTCTCTCTCTCTCTCTCAAATTAATTAATGGTACTATGTACTAAATTCATGTATCAGATATCACAAATTGTCGATATAATGTACGTTTCGTGGTTTGAATCTATAGCAGTATATGTTTCTTGAATTAAAAAAAAATCTTTAAAATGTAAACCAACTACATTGAAACCCCTGCCACAAACAGATCTAAATAGATTTTTCTAACACCTTCATTATTCTCTCTGATCCGTGACGATCCTTGTTTGATTACCTTAACAAGAAATCTAGAATCTATATATGGTCTGTATAACCGACTAACTTTGAACCGTAATGAGACGGTTAAACTAATAAAGACCTCAGTGGAAAACCCAGGGGGTTTCGGGGCTTAAGTGTTAAAAGCGTGATATTAAAAGTCATTTTTCTTTTTTGTAAATTAAAAGGGTAACGTGTAAATACAAACTCAATCGTATCGCAGGTACAGTAAATAAATCTAAGATGTAAATATTAAAAAAATTACATGCATGCATATTTTCTTTTTCCGTTTACTTCTTAAGTTGGAGTTGTTTCCCCTGAATCACCTAGCGACAGGTAAACACATACGTAACATGACTATTGAGTTTCCAGTTGTTTGGTATGTTTGTAGTTGTGATAATAGCACATACTAATACCTGTCGTACTGTTTAAATGACCTCAATAACAAACCCCTTATACACAGGCGGTTTTACATCAGGGGTTTAATTGATTTAACTCAATCAGCACAGCAATAGGAACAGCGTTCTTTAATTTGTATAAACGTGTAAATTACCTCTTCCAGCTCCGAACATAAGTATGATACTTACTTTTTGATATTAGATATTTCACGAGCGGTAAGTTTAATCCATATATTGCTTCATATACATATGTAGTTTGGTCTTATAAAATTCAGTTATTCAAATTATATCATTATTTATACCTTATCGCAAGAAATAATGAAACAATTCCAGTAGGATAGAATTAAATCATTTATTTCAGATGATCTAATGGTCTATAGCTTTTGCATGAAAATGTCTCTTAATTAAAAAATATTTTGAAGTGGGAAGAGCAGACGTAAGTATGTATTACTTTTTTGTATTGTTTATTTTGCAAATCGATCCAAACGTTTCAATGAAAAAAAATGCAATAATCCAATAAAGTTGTTCAGAGTTGTAGATTTACTGAGTGTTGAACCTTTTTGTTATTTAAAAGTAACGATTGTTAGAAACACAAACACGTCGTGTTCTAACTTTGACCTGAAATCGGGGCATTTATCAGATCATTTAAAATAACATAGCCCTGGTACATCTTACAAGCAATTGAGATATGATTCTAAAATGTATATTAAATACTTTCTACGTATTATTTAACCATTACGTACGTGACCATTTGAGTCCATAAAAAAAATCATAACCGAAGACAACCCGCACCAAAATATGTTGGCCTATGTTGACTGGTTAGAGCCCTCGTCAAACGATCTCCGTAGATGTTTCCTGTTCGTCCTCTTCATATGTAAATACATATCTTATTATGTACGTTATTGCGTTGTTTGTACAAAATAATACATTGTTTTCCATTCTGCTGCGCTCATACTACTGGAACAATCATATACTATTATGAAGCGCAATCGAGCACCACATTAAAAAAATCGTCATGTGTTAATATAATTGTATATATACGCCAACCTTTGGCTTAGTATATATGTCCATCCGTTTATCAACTTAATTGGTCTTCCTGACAAAAGTCTGCAACCAAATTTCATGAAATCCACGCATTTATTCATGACATCGGTCTCTTTTGATGTTCTTATAATTGAAAGTCAATGCCATACGTTCAAGATTAAGGTCACAACTCTAGAATATCGACAAGATAATTTGAAAACGACATATTTGGCTTGTCCGCAGGTTCCCGACAAAAATCAGCCAAAATACATGAAACAATCTCTCTATATAAGATAAAGGTAAAGGTCATATGGTCAAGGTCATGCCTAAGAATCATTTCACGACATCCTGCCTCATTTTCAAACATCATGGCCCGTACAGCTTGATTGAACATATATGCATGCTTTTTTTTTTTTATCTTCGTTTAGTTTTAGTAGATATGTACACCATACTTACAATGATATTATGGGCGTATTATTACCGTTTGTATTTACCTCATTCCCTGAAAATGTTCTTTTCATATATAAACTATTGACATTCACTTTTACCCATTTACCTAACTTTTCTTTTCTTTTTCTTTTCCCCGTGTTACGGCAAATTTAAAACGCCTTTAGGAATATTGAGTTTGATATATAATGAATGTGTTTAGTATAAAACGCCTGAAGGTCTGAATTAGGACCTCGATTCAAATGTTTTAAACACATGCATCTTTTTATTCAGTAATGTATGCTGTTGGTGTGATCGACATCCCTGAAAGTAACCCAAAAATAAGCTGACATAAAAAAAATACTGTTATAGATTATGAAACGTTCATCTGACACGATGCATGTAATTTAAACGTTACAAACGATAGCTTGTTAATTTGTATATACAAGCAAGTGATCAATAAACGACCAAATTTAATAGTGCTAATCTGAAAAAAGGTGTTCATGTTATTATTATTGACATGACGCACATATGACAATACCTCAACGATAATAATGTTAACTATTAATAATCAAAATAGTATAATATCCTATTATTATTTATAGAATCATACCATATATCTACAACTATTGTTTTGAACTGATCGACCTAGGTTTGCATTGATATTTTTTTTATATTACTGGTATGAACACCGAAAAAAATTCAGAAACTATATCAAATTTAAGTAGCTAGCGTACAGCAGTGTCAGTAATATACGCCCTACTGTACGTTATCAATTATCTAACATTGGAGTAGTCAAATATAAGTTCATTAAAAATGAGATTTATATTTACTGGTGTTGGAAACATGCTTTAAAATGTTAGTGGTGTTAATTAGGCATCGCTCTATCATTAACATGTATGCCGCATGAGTACCTGTTTTTGTGTCTAAATGTGTGGTAACCACTTGTAAACTTTACAGTCACATGACCACAGGTAAACCTTACAATTCCATGTGACTTGGGTCAACCAATCAAATCGCTTGTTTGGTGTTGAAGCGATCTGTACATTGTTGGAAGGGAAAACGTTCTTCCTGGGGGGAAATTTTCCTTTTCGACATGCCAAATAAACCAAAGAAAGAGAAGGTAGGTGTTTTGGTAGTCGCATTTACATGTATGAATTCGATCCTTCAACTTTTGTGTCTTGAACCAATGAATTATCCATGGATTTCCCGTTTGACATGTCAAAATTCCGACTGACAGACACGCCGCTTGACGAATAAACACAGCTTATTTCGATAATTATGGATGTTTTTGTTTGTTTACTTGACAGACAGTTACAAAGACTACTGGTGGAACAAAAGCAAACGCGAAAGAAAGTACTGAAAATGCAGAAAATGAGGTAAGTTCGTTATTGTTTGTCTATGTATACGAAACATTCCCTACCAAAGATGGCAGCCATATTGACATGGTATCAAATATGGCGGCTTGCCTCAAATGCAAATTTCTCCTTCATTCATAGTGTTGCTTGTATTCCCATTTGTAGAAATTAGTGAACTCCTGCCGTCATAAACCCATGTCTGTTTGTTTACAGGCAAAGAAAAAGGCGGCGAATCAAAATGCCGAGCAGCATCCACCTCCAGCACAGATTTCCAAAATGAAATTCTCCGGCCCCCCTCACGTCAAGAAAGACAAAAGACAAAATTCATCAAGATTCAACGTGTCTAAAAACAGAGAACTTGTGAAGCTGCCACTACTGAAAGGTACACATTAATTACGGAATCGAATAACAACTGTAACTTAAAGAAGTAGTCAAACTCAAAGTTGTTTACAAATATACAAAAAGTGAAAAAACATTCTGATGTGAGGTTGAATGGGATTAAACCTCTTCTCGAACACAGAATAATGTAAGGGAATACTGGTTTTACGTTAACAAATCCAGAATTTAACAATATTTGCTTTGCAACTATCACTGTCATGACTTGTAAAATTTTCCTCACATGTCTGTTATGTTTTCAAAGTGGGGACACTTTGGATTTAATAAGAGAGTTAGTCATCTAGAGCGACAGATATTATTATTCTCAGCCGGGAGACGTTATTGATACTGTATCCTGTATAAAATATCTGTGAGAGCCCCTGAACAATCTCTCTGCTGGCACTGTTTGTTTTGTTTGCAGGTTTATTTGTAGTTCAACCATTGAAATGTTTATGTGTGCCATTTTGATATTTAAACTAATACAAAAGGTGTTGTCAGCCTTCATCAGGCAATTGACTAATGAAACCTAAATTAACACATACGTTTTAAAAATGTATAAGTTGCTGGCAATAAAATCAGTCAATTTCTCTTTGCGATAGGTTCAAAATGATGATCAAGTTCAGAAATCCTTTTAGATACTCATGAATAAAAGGAATGCTTCAGCAATGATGTACACTGTATGCTGATTAATATCATTAATCATTTTCTTAGAAATCAAATTTTATATATTTGTATGCTCTGATCCTTTTAAAGAAATGTATCATAACTGTTCATTTGCTAAATACTTAACAGTATTTAAAGCAAGTTAGGAGTTGTTCACAACCTACTGTATTAAATTATATAGTTATACAGGTGAAGCCTTTGGAGTATAAGATAAATCTATGTCAGTTCTTCAGTCCTTCCCAAATTCTTTTCTGTACCATAACTTTGACTCTGTAAATCTCTGGTTTGTACTCTGGATTTCAAGGTCATGTTGTGAATCCTGGAGTCAAATGTCTACTGATTTTGTTGTGCTTCTCTGGGTCACACCTTTTGAATGTTTAAAGGTTCTTTTTGTCTGAATGAGCTACATTAAACAGTTTAATTTCTGGTCCATACCTACTATCAATGTCAGATTTCTAAGCAAGGCATCAATTTGATCAAAAGGCAAAAAATAAAGGTATTAGTTTTACTGGCTGAAATTTTGGTAGTTTCAATATTATTTTTATGAAACTTGTAATTTGTTTCACTATGATTAACTGAAAAGAATCAAATGTGACATTTACTTGCAACTCCAAACCACCTGCTGGAGAAGTTGTTCAACAATATGATCTAGGGCTGCAACGGTTAGAAAAAATGCCACTCAGATAACCGTGTGTGCTTATCCGAACCGAAACCGGGTAAGCATGTTTTCTTGTGCAATGAAATACGACCATCAATGACTCTTTATTTTGATAAAAATATGATAACTTAATTCATTAAATGCATACACAAAGATAACTCAATACTTATGTCTTTTGAATACAGTTGTCAAACATTCTCAAAAAAGTTATGAATTGGTAACATATCTCTAGCCTCTCGATAGGGAAATTTGTACTCTCACTTCACTCTTATGTGTTGTCAATGCTATGTGCACATATTTATACGCATCAATTCTGGTCGGAACACTGACGATAGCTGCCGGTGACTGATGAGTTACATAAACATAGTTCAACAGAATGTTAGAAAAGATCACGAGTGTTTTGGAGGTCTGTCAATCAGCAGACAGTAGCGACATTTCTGCCCGGGAAGTCAATTAATACTGTCCTACATTTGGGGCGTTTTCGGGTACGTATATTTGCTAACCGAATAATACTCGTAACCGAACCCGACCGGGTACTCGGTTCCCGTTCCAGCTCTAATATAATCCAGTGACTTCACTAAAAACACCGACAGGGTTTTCCCATAGGATGATATTTCGACCTATCAGAAGGCAGAAGTGTTGATCATTGGGCAGACAGTAAATAATAACAGACGGTTAGATGCAGACATCTGATTATCAGGTGGAATCACCTTCAAGGTTCAGCATACGTAGTGTATCATTGTATGAGAAGAACCCCTGTAACAGATCTTTATTCACAAAATTCAAAATGTACTGAAATAGTCAATGAAAAAAAGTTTCTGGGATAAAAAAAATCATAGACAATTTAGCACCATTAAATTATTTTGATTACATATCAGCAGGTACAATATGTATCTCATTTCAAAAGTTTTTTGTCAAATCAGACCTGTCGATGACTCGACATTATACAAAATTTTCAGTAACACAGTTTTTTTATTCACTCAATCAGGTTACTATCTTGTTGACTGTGTGTAAAGTGAAATTACCTAACACCAGTGCTTCTTCCTACATTGGTTATCCATGTTGAAATTACCACAGATTTCAAATATTTGAACTAACAATTCAATACGTAGTACACACTTTTTCAGTGAATGTTGTAAACAAGTCCTGATTAGCAAGACGGGGCACTTTCCGTAGTTCATTTCATGCTTGCCACTAACAGATGCCATGCTGTAATTTTGAGAAGTTCCATTTAAAAAAAATGTTCAGTTCAACAGGATAAAAACATAGTACTCAATGCATGATTTATATGAAAACCAAAAGTCATACTTTTACTTTCATATCAGTATAACTTGCATTATATCTTCAAACTTTGAAAGTGATGTTTTTGTTGGTTTCTGTATGACATGCTACACATGACAGCTTTGCTGAAATTCAGTGTTTCATTTTGGAATCAAGTTATGATTCATAATTTATATGACACGGTACAATTGTTTACGTTAAATTTTGTTGATGTGTTTTCGAATTCAGTAAAGTCACTAGCAGGTGTTTTAGACTCTTATTGGTTTTATAACAATCTTCAATTTTGCTGTAATAAGCCCATTTCGTTTTTAAGTCATAGGTGTGCAGTACATTAAAATTAGGTAACTGGTGTCTTAACCTCAAAGTCATAAACTAGATAAGTGCAAAATTTCAATCAAAATATGGTCATGGTCATAGCTTTTAAATTGTTCAAAGGTATTTCATTTAACCTTTATCATACCTGCACAATTATAAGGTCACTGTAACCTTCACTTTGTGAAAGGTCAGTAAAATCTTATCTGGAATATAACTTTTGAACCGTGATATATACATTTCAAATGTTCCTGCAACACCCACTGAAGGTTTGCAGTGTAATATTATTAGTTTATTGGAACCTCAACCTCAAGGTCAAAGGTGAAATAAATATAAAATTTCCAGGTTAAAACTATATCTGATATTTCATTGAAATAGGATATGCAAATGGATCAGCTGGAAAAGGCTCTCATATACATGCAACAGTGATCTTACTTAAATATGAATATGTCTCAAGTTCTTGACCAATCTATCAGATGTAGGTCATTATGATATATGGATCAGCTGGAAAAGGCTTTCATATACATGCATGATGCAACAGTGATCTTACTTGACAATCTATCAGATGTAGGTCATTATGATTTATGGATCAGCTGGAAAAGGCTTTGATATACATGCATGATGCAACAGCGATCTTACTTGAATATGGATATGTCTCAAGTTCTTGACCAATCTATCAGATGTAGGTCATTATGATATAGTTTTGTTTCACTGACTTAGAGTTTGATTGGACTAGCTCCATTTCTTTGGATAAACTTCACATTTTACTCAGTTTCCATCAGATCAAGGGTTTATAACAGTGAGGCTGAATGATCTACAAACACTTCAGTGTGAAACTAGTCTAAAGGTTTTCTTAGCATGGGTTATTATTGTGATAAGTTTGAAATTGTAAAGAAAAACAATTCTCAGTATGAGGTATAAAATGACCAGGTATTTATATTTTTTATCAGACTATTTTGGGAAATGACTTTGGTTAAAAAAAAACAGATGCCAGTTACAGTTTTTCTATAGAAATTATGAGATTTCTAAAAATAAAATCTGTATCTTCCTATCCACTAAAAAATTTTGAAGAGGGTAAGGGAAACTGCAAATATGACATTGTGTGTGTATTCATAAACATTTAAGGTAACAATTTCAGTATTTTGCTAAATATACTTCATTGTATGATTTGGAATGACACACTGTAACAGTATTGTTTTGCCTCCTTTTCAATGAAGTTAAAATGACTTTCCATTATGCAGGGGTCGACACTAACACTAGTCCGCTAGTCCGCTAGTCCTTTAGACTTTATACTTTAGCCTAGACTAATATGGATATTCCCTTTTTTTAAATTTAGAAAAACAGCTTAAAATAAAATATATTGCATGATAATTGTCAAAGTTTTCTTTAAACTTCGCCATATTTTTATGGCATTAATTATTTTAAGTCCCCTACAGTCGATTACTTTTGATGTTTCGTGCTGTATTTCGTGATGTTTCCTATCCGGAAATCTTGGACTAGTTACATTGACGAAGGACTAGGAAATAACATATGTTAAAATGTCGTGATTAAAGTGTCTAACCCTGTTATGTACTTAATTTTGTTCTGTAAATGTTAATTTGTGGTAAATATTGTTTTACTGCTTGTTAATAACATTTAGATTAGTGGATGTTGTATGAGGACTCCTGTATCCCTTTGTATCAGTATCCTATGACGCATGATGTACAAATTAACACTAGAGCCTCTAATTATTGCTAGGTCAATGAAGTGACGACAGTCACAGTGGTACATGTTATGGCTAGTATATGGTTGTAAGCTATTACTTTCCTATAAACAGTTTTCGCTTCAGTTGTGATATAACTATAATTAGAGATATATATGCTTCTGAACAGTAAATGTTTTGTCAAAGGGAACAAAATCACCATTTTTTTACTCATTCTCCCCTACATATTTAAGCTGGACTTGCCCAGTCTTTGATTTGGTAAGGTTCAAATGTGACTTTAGGGGTAAATGGGTTTTAACTTAAAGCCAGAAATCCTGAAGGTAGAGCTGGATACAGTGTGTCGCTTAAGATGTCTAGTCACTTTTATACATTGGAGAAGAAGGATTTGCAA